TATGGAGACAGGACACATCCCTGACGTACACCCTTCCCAATTTTGAACCATGCAGTGTTTTTTTTCAAAAGGTATTATTTACCTTAATATTAAGTTATCCAATTCTCTTACTGGGGCCCCAGACATTTCATAATTACATAGTCTTACCCAGTCTAGTGGTGAATATCTAAGTCAATGACTAGAAGAGCCATATTGACTATTATACAATTGGTTTCATTATTATTATTTTAAACACTGAAAAGGGAGGGGAAGAAGGGTAAGTGAGACTTTGACTTAAGAAAATGGCAGTGGGCTGAAGAGGAGAACTAGAGGTAAGAGAAAGAAAGGAATATTGGAAATCTGTCCCAATTTGGAATGGTTGTGGGGTTTTTTTAAAAAAATAAATAAAAATTTTCTTTTATATTGGTTTGCTTACATTGTTTGTCACACAAGATCCTTCCCATTTCCTTTATCCACCACTCCCTACCCCATTAAACTGTGCGACCCTATGATTAACATCCCCACCCCACTCATCCTCACCCTTCTGTTCTCACTCTACCCGTTCTACAATAATGGTCTTATACAGTATTCATCCTTAAAGGACTGAGTTAGTTCACTTAGAATAATGTTCTCCAGTCTCTCTGAAGTTAGATAGTGATTCACAAAATCATTGCTTCTGTGTGCTGCCTAGTATTCCATTATAAGAATGTACCATAATTTCTCAATATATTCAATTGTGATTGGACATTTGGGCTGTTTCTATGTTCTTGTGATGGTGAATAATGCTGCTATTAACATTAGTATACAAATCTCTGCTTGTGTCTCAGTTCTCATTTTCTCAGGATATATTCTAAGCAATGGAATAGCTGGGTCATATGGAATTTCTATGATCAGCTTTTTGAGGAAGCACAGAACTACCTTCCAGAGTGTTTGTGCCATTTTACAATGCCACCAACCTAAGAGTATCTTACCACATCCTCTTCAGCATTTATTACTTGCGGTCCTGTTAAACTTTGTCACTGCTACTAGGGTGAGATGGTATCTCATCATGGTTTTGATTTGCGTCTCTCTTATTACCAGTGATTTGGAACATTTCTTCGTGTGTCTGTTGGCCATCTGAATATCTTCCTCTGTGAAAAGTCTTTCCATGTCTTTCACCCATTTTGTAATTGTGTGATCATTCATTTTTTTGTGGAGGCCCTGTAGAACTCTATAAACATTTGATATGAGACCCTTGTCTGAAATGGTATTGCCAAATGTTTTTTCCCAGTCCATCCAATTGGAAATGTTAAGGGCACAATCTGAAACTAAATTTAGGAAACAGGATTTTCAGTCCTGAACTAAGAACATATATTTTCTTAATTTTGAAAATAACAGTATAAAATTTCAAGAAAGCCACAATAATAAATAATCATTGTGTAG